GTGACTGGGGTAATCAGGGTAGGTGTGTCGGAGACAGTGCGATTGGCACAGGACAGAGCAGGGTTTAGGGCTGTTGTACATAGGGCCGATATGAGTCGCAAGAGATTCGTTGGCACAGGACAACAACAATAACATGTTCCACCATGTCGGCCAGAAAGTTGTGCATGTTCTGGGTGTCTGAGGGGACTGTCTTGGCCGTGGAATCATGGATCTGAGTCTCTCCCTTCATCCCTTCAGTATGACTTTCTCCTTTTAGTCTCGATCTAGGCTTCCCTTTCGCTTTAAGATGCCCACAGCTTCACTACCACCAATAGGTTCTCTCACTCACATGAGTCTGGAAGATCAGAGAGGTTTTTAGACAAAGTCCTGTTCCATACCTTAGCTGCAAGTTTGTAAAGACATAGACCAGAGCAGACCAGTTGAAATGGAGTCTAGGATTACCGAAGGCCAGAAATTAAGGATCCCTCTGGAGAATAAGGGAGATTCAGATCAAGTCCAACGGGCTCTCTCCTTGTGTGCAGGGCTCAACACACTTACTCTGTCCACCCGTCATCAGCGATGTAGCAGTACATGAGCCTGCGGGCATGGTAGGGCAGCCAGCAGATGGCGTACACAGCCACAATGGCTCCTGCAGAAATATTGGAGAGACACAGCAACAGACAGAACAAGCATGTCCTCAGTTAGGTCACTGCCAGACAGGAAGATGCCCGAAGGTGACAGCATTACCCTGTACCTTTTTTCCTGGAGTCTAAGCTTTGGAAGAGAACACTGAGGTTACTTAATGCTATACATCCCTATTTGTTCCTATCATCAAGTTTTATCTTTTCTTCTGGGTAAACAGTTAACAATAATCATGGTAGGGTCGTTATGAGTCGCAAGCGACTCGACGGCACATAACAACAACAACATATTAGCACATGCTTCTATAACCTCCTCCTGGAAACTAGAATATACTCCCAATTGATATCCATTTCTTCTTGGAACTAACCCTCCAGTGGGCTTTGAGAGACTGTAAATCACAGGGGAGATTTCTCATCCTCTGTGGTGCAGCTGGTGGATTTGAACCATCCACCTTTGCATTGGCAGTGCAACTCCATAACAATTAACCCATCAGAGCTCCCTTGCCAATTGATGGTTAGATTTTTTTTCTACCTGGTGTCTGATCCCCTATGTCACAAAACATACTCCCTAAATCCAGCCTGTAAGAAGTTCCTTCTTAGCATCTCTCCACTGCTTCCTCTTGACCTCATTGCTTCACACTCGAGGTCCTTATCATCTCTCTGCTGGACTATAGCAACAGTTTTGTCATTGGTCCCTTTGCTCCTCTGTCCCTTCCAGCCTCTCTTTCTACACTCTAGTCTACTGTGTAGTCTAATAGCTTCAGCCTAACTAGTACTTGTTAAAAATGAAGCATCTTGGGGTTCCTGCAGACACTCTGAGTCAACCTCTGGAGGTGGGAGCCAGCAATCTGTGTCACACTCTCCAAGTCATTCTTATCCACACCAACGTTTGAGGAACACTGTACAGTATAGAAGGAGCTTTCAAGGAGCTGCTGAATTCAATATATCTAAAGAACAAAACTTCCCTGTCACTCCTGGGCACTGACTCTGTGCAAGATGATGCATTTACTATAAAATCAAGCCTGGACACCTTCATATGCTAATTTTGCATTATCATCATATAGCATTATACTTTTCTAGTTCTCTCTCACATATAAGACCATGGCCTTGATGAAAACAGGTAACTCTGTACTTACTTTGTCTTCCTGGTTCTTAGTTACTGAGTTATAACTGATGATATTTGGAGACACCTTTGTTTTTCTGTGCATTTATGTTTCTTTTGCAAGATTAACTTTACATAGGCAGCTGCACAAACAAAGCAGATCAATGTAGCAGTGAGGAAAGCAGAGAGTTAGTGAGAAATGGATTTAGGGTCCTGGGATTCCACAGTTCTGGTCTGATGTCATTACTTGTTTGTCTCATGCGTCTACAGTGACAGCCTTCCTGAAAAGTAGCCAATGACCATCTTGCTTTTATGTGCTACATGCTAGAGCAGACCAGAGGCCCATGAATACAATTATCATTCCTTCCTCGATTATAGTGCTGAACCCTGCAGGAAGTCGGTTAGAGATTATAAAATGCCTCAGTTGTTCTTGAGGCACAGGGGCATTTAGGTTTAGAGAGAGGGAATAACTTGCTCAAGGTCACTGTCAGGGATTGGGGCGGTCAGCACAGGACTCTAGACCCATTCTCTCCAGGGTGTTACCTAGGACTTAACTGAGAATCTGGATGCTGTGCTGGAGGCCCTGGATCCTGCTGGTCTCCTTATATCTCACCGCGTTGACCTTGCTCTTCAGGGAGAGCATCTTTCTCCATGTACTGAAGCCAAAGAGCCCCTCCTCACTTATTAGCTCCAGGTGGCTGGGGGTGGAGTCGTCTTGAGCAGAAGTGGGTGGCACTTGGGAGCTGAGGGACACCAAGTGGCTCACGGTGACCCCATTCAGGAAGGCGGTTAGAACCAAGGGGAGCACGAAGGACACCAGTACATTTACCTGCAAAAGCAATTCCAAGGGTTATGCTGGTTCTATGAGGCGTCAGAAGGCTGGACACTGACTAAGTATGACAGAAAAAGAATCGATGCCTTTAAAATTGTGGTATTGAAGAATACTACTGACTATACTGTCTATCCCATGAACTGCTAAAAGAACAAGCAAGTATGTCTTGGAGAAAGCACAACCAGGGTACTCCTGGGAGACAAAGATGGTGAAACTCTGTCTCACTTACTTTGGGCATGTTGTGAGGAGGGGTTATTGTTGTTGATAAGTGCTGTCGAGTTGTAGGCAACTCATAGTGACCCTATGAACGAAAGTCCTGGACACCTGTATTACTTTCATCCTCTCTCCAGGTTCATAGGGTTTCTGGTGGCAAGCTATTTTAGAAGTGGATGCCACTCCTGCTTCCAAGCTTGTTTTAATCAGGGAGCTCCACCAAATACTGTCGCCAAGGGTGACCATTATTGCATTGGACTCATTAGTGTCACAGTGTTCGGCTTTACAGCAACCACGAGTTACCTCTGTACAGCAAATGGACACACCAGGGTTATACCACCTAGAAAAATGTTTCACCAAAAACAATTAAAGTCTCCGCAGGTCCCACCCCATCCTTACTTATCCTTACACTAAGGGTCAGGGCTACCCAACCACCTTTGAAGGGCAAAAGAGAACAGTAACACATAACAAAAAAGACCCCAGACACTTCCCTTGCCTGACTGCCACCAACAGGAGCTGCCATAGAGCCGCCCGCCATCCCACCAGTTAGCCAGCTGACAGGGAGGGGTTCGTCCTTGGAAAAAGACACCATGCTGCTAAAGTCAAAGAGAGGAAGACCCCTGACTTGACAGATCAACACAGTGGCTACAACAATGTACTTGGGGGTGTCAGAGATGGTGCGGACCTGCAGGATAGGGCAAGGTTCAGGTCTATTGTTCACAGGGTCGCTGTGAGTCATAAACAACAATAGCATAAGGCAGCACCAAGTGACTCTGGCCAGGGGGGCCGCGTCTCAGGGCCCAGGAATCTGCGGCAGCAGAAGAGAGTCACTGAAAAGGCTAGAAGATGATGGTGAGAAAATTATCAGAAAATAAGGAGAAAGCAATGAAAATAGGAGAGAAAAATATATAATATTTGGAATTAGTCTAGGGTTTTCATCATCTAATTGATAATGATTTCAGAAAGAAAACAAATAGAGAAGACACAAGGGAAGAAATGATTAATAAACAAAACCAAAAAAGCACACATTCAAGGGGACTTCCTTATAGTTGAGGGATAGGAGCTACTCTGTTGAAAACTCCTACATGTCCCCAGAAGCATGAATGAAAAGAGATCCACCATAGGTATAATCTTTACCACCCAAAAGGACAAAGAGATAATTTTTTGAACTTCTAAGAAGATAGATGAAGTCATATACAAAGAAGGGAAACCGGTATGATACCAGGTTTCTCAAAAATAACAATGGAATTTAGAAAATAATGATACAGCATTTTAAAAAATTTTGAGACAATTTTAATACAAGACAATCTTGATACTGTACACCTTCACCTCATTACTGTCAAGTCAGAATTGACTCTTCGCTGACCCTTCGTTGGGTTTCCAAGGCTGCACATTATGTTGTTGTTGTTATGTGCCATCGAGTCGTTTGCGACTCATAGCGACCCTACGTACAACAGCCCTAAACCCTGCTCTATCCTGTGCCAATCACACTGCCTCTGACATACCCATCCCGAATACCCGTCACTAAATCAATCCAACTCATAGAGGGCCTTCCCCTCCTGCATCATCCCTCCACCCTACCAAGCATGATGTCCCTCTCCAAGGACCCGTCCCTCCTGGCAACATGTCCAAAGTATGTCAGACGAAGCCCCAGAATCCTTGCCTCCGAGGAGTAGCCTGGTTTAACTCTCTCTAGGCTGAATCTGTTTGTTTTCCTGGCAGTCCATGGTACATTCAATACTCTTCTCCAGCACCACAGCTCAAAGGCATCAATTCTTCTATCCTCCCTAGTCATTGTCCAACTCTCTGATGCATAACAAGTGACTGCAAAAACCATGGCCTGTATCAGGCGCACCTTAGTCTCCAGAGAGACACCGTTGCTCTTGAGTACTTTAGAGAGGTCCCTAACAGCAGACTTTCCCATCACAATACATTATAGGGAGGGCACATACCCATCTTTCTCCTGAGAAGTCTCTGATGGCTTAGAACTGCCAGAAAGGAGCAGCTTATGGATTACCAGCACAACTCCTGTTGTTCTATGCCAGCTGGCCAGATGATGAAAAATAGGAAGGTAAAAGAAAACATTTTCAAAATAAAAATTATTCATTTTTTCACCTTCCACAGATTACCCCTCAATTCTCAGAAGATTACAAGAACAAGTGCTTAGCGCCCACACGCACGTTTTAAGGTAATAACTAATATTCAAAAAATGGCTAGCCAACAGAAGATTGACAGGTTTACAACAAGACAGGAGGGCCATTCCCAAGACAACAATTGTGCATGTTCTGAGAGCAAGCCCGCAGATTGGATCAAGGGGGGACAGAGCTTTGAAGGATGACAGAGAAAGAAAATATGAACCTAGTAGATTATCTTATGGTTCTGAACGTAATGAGATAGTACTTACACTTAGAGTGTTGTTGTTGTTGTTGTGTACTGTGGAGTCAGAACCGACCCATAACTGACCCTCCCGAGGGTTTTCAGAGGCAGTTAATTGCATGGAAAGAGTTTGTCCATCCTTCTCCCACATTCTTAGGGTGGTGGTGTTGTGTTCTGTAGAGTTGGGACTGACTCATAGCTGACCCTCTGGCAGGTTTTCAAAGGCAGTTAATCACAGGGGAGGAGATTGCCCATCCTTCTTCCACAGAGCAGCTGGTGGCCCCAAACCCTGTGCCTTTGGAATTACAGTGCAGCTTCTAGCCACTAGGCCACCAGAGCTCCCTACACTTGAAGTAGAGAAGTTAAAAATTAATTAGAAAGAGGTACATAGAAAACTAAGCAAGTAGAAAATATTCATTGCAGGGAAAATGATTTTGGAAAAGAAATAGAAAGACGATAAATGGTATGGATTATATGAGAAGAAGGTTTATATAATAAACACAATATAAATAGCAAGCATAAATATAACCAAATACCATGAGTTGCCTATGACTTGATGGCACTTAACAACAACAACAACAACAACAACAATCACCACAACAACCATAATATATGACAAGAATGGCTGTGGGGGTGTAAGTATGTGAGTGTGGTGTGTGAAGGTTGAGAATGGAAGATAACCAAGTGCTCCTTTTCTGCAGTCAGAAGATAGTGGATAAAATTTAAAACCTGAAACAAGAGATAAGTATTTTCAGCAGAAATATGCAGGCACAAAGTAGTGATAGCTAAGAATGTGTTGATTTTGTTAAGTGGTAGTGTTGTCTTTAGATAAGAAAACCTGGGTCAGGATGTGGGGGGGATACTGATTTCTGCTTAACATTGCAAAAATATTATTTTATATTTTTAAAAATCAAAGTCATAATATAGTATCTTATTAAAATGTAAAGTTTTAAAATTTTATTTTATATGCATGTTACAATTTTTTTCCATCAGGTCTAAGACTCTCTGACTCTTTTCCCTTTGAAAACATTTTAAAAAGAAAAACAAATGAACTAACCATATTTTAATCACACTTTACAGATTAGGAAGGAAGCTCTGGTGGCCTACTGGCAAGAAGCTGCGCTGTAATCCCAAAGGCACATGGTTTGAATCAACCAGTTGGAGAAGGAAGGGAAGTCCCCCTCCCATGTGATTTATAGCCTCTGAAAACCATTGGAATGTCAGCTATGAATTGGTTCTGAGTCAATGGCACACAACAACAACAACAACATACAAGTTAGAAACTCTGGTGGCCTAGTGGGTAAGAAGGTGCACTGCCAACCCAAAGGCATTTCATTGGAATCCATCAGTTGCTCTGACAAAAAAAAGGTGGGTATTCTCCTTCAGTGCATTTTACTGCCTTTGAAAACCTGTTGTAGAGTCAGCTATGAGTTGGCTCCAACTCCATGGCAATGATGTGATTTTAAATTTGATAGCAGTTAAACTCATATCCATCCTGAAATGGTAGAACTTTCCCAAAGTGTACAAGTTTCCCCATGGGCTTTATGGAACCAGACTAGCCCCTTTTCTCCAGTGCTGAGTTCCAGCTGCCGATCTTGTGGTTAGTAGCTGAATAATATCTTAACCACAGCATTGTAAGAGTCAGAATTGACTTGATCAGAGTGGATCTTTTAAAAAATATATCCTAACCAACTTTAAAGACAGAACAGCATATCTGAACTGGGTGTTGGTTGTACCTTTTAAAGAAGTTGCCATTCATTTTCTCCCCACTTCCTCTGCCATCTCAGTGTTTTCACAAATAAGCAATGCTAACACTACGTGGTTCAAAATCAGAAAAGGTTTATCCCAGGTATGCATCTTATCTCCATATCTTTTCAATTTGTATGTGGAACATATCATTCAGTAGGATGGACTTTATGAGGAAGAATGTGGCATCAGGATTGGAGGAAGAGTCATCAACAAACTGTGCTATGCAGATAACACAACCATGTTTGTTGAAAATGAGGAGGACCTGAGCCATTTGCTGCAGAAAGTCAAGGACTGACTGGAGCCTTCAATATGGATTGAAGCTCAACATCAAAGTTTCTCACCACTGGGCCAATTGGTTGCATCATGATAGATGGAGAAGAGATTGAGATTGTTAACAGTTTTAGTTTGTTTGGCCCCACAATCAACAGCCTTGGGACCAGTAGCTAGGAAATCAAAAGACAAATTGTATTGGGAAAGTTTGCTGTCAGTTATCTCTCTAGAGTACTGAAGAGCAATGTCAGTCTAGAAAGTGCTCCTGATCAAAGCCATGGTCTTTGCATTTACTTGCTATGCATCAGAGAGCTGGACAATGAATAAAGATGACAGAAGAAGAATTGATGCCTTTGAACTGTGGTGCTAGAGAAGAGTATTGAGCCAGG